GCTCCAATACCCCCTCCCCCTCGACTTCTTATCTAAATATTTAGTTCCTAATGAATTAAAAGGATCTAAATATAACGTCATCGTAAACTCAGACCAGCAAAAAATGTCGCAAATCGGTGAAGATAAATATTTTAAGTACACTTATCTACAATCTCTATAACATGTTAAAAAACTAATCTTGAACCAGGGGAAAATATGACTAGAAAATAATACCAATATTTTAGAAAAAAAAATATAAAAATCGTTGAAAATTTTATTTTCAAAGTATTAACCCCTGTCGTAAACTAGACAGAGGGGGGAGGAAATGATGGAAAACTATAAATAAATATAGTATTCAACTGCACACAACCAAAACAATCTTGAACGCTTAGCTCGACGTGTGCTAAAAAGCGTAAAATTACTCCCGAGCACGGCAATTTGAGCATTTACACTTGAAACGTGTCAAGATTTCTTTAATAGACTGTAGGTAGCAAGGTTATAAGGCAAGGAAAGTTAATAGCAGTTGCGGATACTCTGCGTAAACATTGAAACCAGTTCTCTCTGGGCGGAATTTGTAAACAAGAATAGATACATCAGTGTTCGTTTAGTATCTGAGGGATTCAATTTTGATAATTTTGATAATTCACATAATAGTTTCCTATGAACAGAATATTTCTTTGATTATTTATGTTAAAAATGGATCCCATGTCAGGCTTCGACATTCCTCTTGTGTTTACATTACCGCCCAGAGACAGTACACTGCAGTACAAAAGATGCGTACACCTCTGAAATAACTTTCCTTGCATTATAACCTTATTATGTAGAGTGTAACTATACTAAGAGTGTGTCTGAGCAAAAATGTGGAAGCTATCTTCGTTTTTCTTGCTTAAAAGTTGTTTTATTCAGATACTTTCCTCTATTGTTTCTGAAAGCAGAAATCGGCAAGTCTCTTTCATCGAAAATAATAAATTTTGGAAAAGCGGAACATAGATAACTTTATCTTTAACAGACAACGTTTTAAAGGCCACCGTTTGTGAATTTAAAATTCCATTTAGTGTAATAGTGAGTCGCTAAGAATTTTGTTCACAGTCTCTTTCATTTCTTCGAGTTTCCTCGGTTTTTATCATAATATCTACTTACCGAGGACCACTGTCCTGTGTACCAGATAGGACACTGATATCCGGCACAGGGTTCCTCTACACTTGGTTTCTCACCAGGACATTCAGATTCATCAACCTAGACATTCATTCATTCATTCATTCATTAACCTAGGCATTCATCCTTTCTTCCTTTCATCCTTCTATTCATTTATTCATTCATTCATTAACCTAGGCATTCATCCTTTCTTCCTTTCATCCTTCAATTCATTTATTCATTCATTCATTAACCTAGGCATTCATCCTTTCTTCCTTTCATCCATTTATTCATTTATTCATTTATTCATTCATTCATTAATGTATTCATCTGTTAATCTAAATGTTTAGAAAGTAAAAATTTCTCATGTTTTGTGAAAACTCCTATTTGTGCATCGTGTAAACTTTTAACAGCCGGAAATATTTCCCGGTTTAGTGTTAAGCATTAGGAGATCATTTTATATCCCCCCCTATCCCTGCTGAAGGCCCGTTTAAACCTCTTGAAGAAAAATAATCCAATTCATTATTTTTAAAACTTGTGTACAAAAGATTCTAGTTTTATTGCATTAACTTTTTTCTACTCTTTCCTTTTTCTCTTGAGGAATTGAGTCTTTACCACAAACTCTGATTTTCTAATCCTTACATCTGTCCAACTCATTGTCGTAGACCTTTGATATATGTTCTGTTAGATCAAATAAGGAAAGTTTGAAATATCACCGACTGGTTGCAAAGATAAAGGGATTAGAAAATTTAAGGTTGTGGCAAAGATGCTATTCAAATTTTTCTTGTTCTAAATTATTTCTCCTCCTTTTCATTTGTTCTCCTAGCCTTCCTCAAGCTTCTTCTGTTTTTATATTTTATTTTCCTTCAGTGGGTATATTTGTTCTTCTACCCTTCCTCAAGTTTCTTCTGTTTTTATATTTTATTTTCCTTCTCCCATGAGGGAGTTAGCTGACAGTGCAGAAATGTAATATATTCTAATATTTCATATTTTCATTTACATCAAACACAACAAAATAGCACGGAAATATTTCATATTTTCGGGTTCAGACTTCTCAAAGATATTTAGTAGATATTAAACATAAGTATTTTTAATATATTTAAATATCATTATTTTTACAAAATATTTTCATCAAAATATATTGTTTAGTTGTATTTGGATGTTTTTCATATCACTTTCTATGATTGAAATTTACGACACAATAGGTTGCAAAGATATAGGGACTAGAAACCTAGAGTTAGAGACAAGTTTTCAGTTCTAAAACTTTAGACACTATAAAGTATAAAACCTTGAAAGATTTTTAAAATTTGTGGCGAATGTTCAATTGCTTGAAAGGAGTTTTTACAATAAATACTTCCACAAAATACAATTTTAGTATGCAAAAAAAAATTCGAAAACAAAGGAATTGAGTCTTTGCCACAAACTAAGATTTTCTAATTCCTGTATCTTTGCAACCTCATTATGTTAACCTATGATATTTCAAACTTATATTATTTTATCTAACAGAATTTATAGTTTGAAATATTTTAGGTCTACGACATTTGATTGCAAAAATAAAGGGATTCAAAAATCAGAGTTTGAAACAAAAACTCAATTCCTTTAAAGATTTACTAACCTTGGTGGACAAGGATTGGTATTACAGGAATCAATCTGTATATCCGGCCTTGTGTCCTCTAGACACAGCCCATCCTCCACAACAAGTCCTTGGAGGACGTCCTTGCAGACCATCCTCACCATCCTTGTCCCAGTCCCACAGGAGGCTGAGCAGCGGGACAAGGGAACCTTCTCCCAGGTATACCGAGACCCGGAGCAGTTTCCGTCCCCACCACATACTCCACACCTAGGCATAGATACAGATATAAGCGGGACAAGGGAACCATCTCCCAGATATACCGAGACCCGGAGCAGTTTTCGTCCCCACCACATACTCCACACCTAGGCATAGCTACAGATATAAGAGGGACAAGGGAACCATCTCCCAGGTATACCGAGACCCGGAGCAGTTTTCGTCCCCACCACATACTCCACACCTAGGCATAGATACAGGTATAAGAGGGACAAGGGAACCATCTCCCAGGTATATTGAGACTTCAGTGCTCCTTGAACATAGCATTCTCCCAAGTCTCGACGCAACGGTTCAACCTTAGACGTTGGATATCTTCCAGTGCTATGTCAAACTAAAGTAAAAATGAAATATTAAATTTTTTATAGAAGAAAAATGTTTTGAACTAGAGGAGCAACGGAGTCACAAAGTCGTAATAGTAATGTCAATTGAACTTGACCTTATCCTCCTAGTTAGTTTGCTGTGGTGCCAGGATTAGATAACCTCCCCCGATTTAAGGAGATAAACCGCAAATCAAAAATGTGTGCAGGTCATATCATTAAGTTTAGTCGTTAAAGCAGCCTCGCAAAAGTTTAGATTAACTTTTTATATAAAAAGAAGTTTGCCTAAAATGATGCAGCCCCCAACTTCAAAATTAAAAATCCGTTTAAAACATTTACTCTTGAACCGCTAAAAATCTTAAAACCTCTGTGCCTTCAAACCTCTCCATCCACCCTGTACCTTCAAAACTCTCAGATCCCTCTGTACAATCATAACAATTTTAAAAAGCTCTGTCCCTTTAAAACTCTCAAACCAACCTGTACCTTTAAAACTCACATATCACTCTGTACTGTACCATCAAAATTCTTAAAAAACCCAGTACCTTAAAAACTGAAAGTACACCTTGAACCTTGAAACTTTAAAAACACTCTCTATTATCAAAACTCTTATTAAACCCTGTACCTTAAAAACTCTTAAACCACCCTGTACCTCTAAAACTGCCAGGGCACCCTGTTTCTACGTCGGAACTGTTTGGTAAAGAGTTCAAAGAAGAATTGAATGTAAAGATATGATTAAGAATTGTATCCTTCTCACAGATCTCACAGGAGTTAAATACGTCAAAAAAAAATCTTTTTCCCCAGTTCAAAGGATTTAGGTTTAGGTATTATACATCCATCATACAATTCTACAGATTTACATAGATTTCAAAGGATAAAAGATCTTCTTACTACCAGTGGTAAGGTGTTATACTTTTTAAATATTCTTTCAGAAAAGAACCTATACTTCTTATATATACTTTTTTGTCTGTTTGTTGTTTGTTTGCATCCAAAAAACATCAAAACCTCTGACCGATCGGGGCCAATTTTTTTGTGACCCCAGGGAAGGTTCAAGGCTGGTCTAAGTTGACAAATTTTGTCCGGAAAAAAATGTCAAAATTTTTTATTTTTAAAAATGCATCAATTTAAACAGAAATATCAGCGAACTTTTTCGTTTATTGCAGAGTACGATGAAAATCAGATAGAAACCAACCAACTAAAAATAAGAAACGTTAAGGCATAAAGGAAACTGAAAAATATATTCTAATTGATGAATATCCAGACATGGCTGAATCCTGAATCTTGGATCCAAGCAACACAAGGATTTTCCCACGGATGTTAGAAAGCTTTCATGGAAAAACATCATTTTTAGCACTAAACATACATATATTTTTATCTCACCCGTTCTTCTACCCTTCCTCAAGTTTCTTCTGTTTTTATATTTTATTTTCCTTCAGTGGGTATATTTGTTCTTCTACCCTTCCTCAAGTTTCTTCTGTTTTTTTATTTTATCTCATCAAATATCCAAATTTCTCTTATTCAAATGAGAAAAAATTCAACTTTTACATCGAGCCGTAAACTATTAAATATTAAAAAAGATAAACTATTCATTCCTTAAAATGGGTTTCACATAAGCTGTATTAATAATAAATATTCTAAAACCATGATTTAGAATTATTTTCCTTACTTTAACTATTACTAAAAACCTCACTGAGGTAATTTATTTTCTAAAATTGTAAAAAATTAATTCAAACATGAGAGGAATCCACCCAGGGTGTAGGAATAAATGGAAAGGAAATGGCGCTGGTCTGGCATGAGAAAGCCAGTCCCACTGCTTTGCAGACAAGTTCGGTATTCCTTACACACACTCTTTTGGTACAGACACACAACATGACTACTGCAGTCAAGGAAATTGCAGAACAATGTTGTCAATTATATTTAAGCTTGAATTACGACTATATTAATTGTAAACTTTAATCAAATTATATTCTTTTCATGAAAATTTGGCTTATAGTGTTGACTTAAATATAAAAATAATATATTACATGTATATTAAACTTATCTTTAAGTAAACAATTAACAATAAACAAAGGTACTCTCCTAGACGGTACAAATACCGAGATTCGTATGTACTGTATATACCTACAGTACACGCCTTCGGTTCGGTAAACTTTACACACACTCTTTGGAACAGACAGACACACACATGACGTTTCCGCCCCCTGAATCCACCTTATAACCCTTTTAAGAGCAAAGTTTTGAAACGAATATGTTCCTCTAGAAATGGAGGGGCACAACAATTTACGCATTCGCCCTAAAGTTCCTTTAAAAATAATAATAATGATAATATTGTTAAATGTATAACCTGGCAGTGTCCTGCTATACAGACAGCTAGTCCTCCTGTTCCCTGGCACCTGGTTCCGTCCTCAACCTTGTCCTTCAGGGTGGCTAGGACACGCCTCTCGTCTTGGCTCCTGCAGTCCAGCCTACAGGGGGACTCTGCCCCCTCCTCCCCCGCCCACACCAGGTACTCACCCTGCCACGCCATAGAGTTAAACCTGGAAAATAAGAAGTTTATTAATTTTTAATTTGAATAAAAAAAATTAAATTCGAAGAAATCAATATTATGAATAAAAAGATTAAGCAATTTTTTTTGAAAATTTATAAAAAATTTTGTAAAAAAAACAGAAAGCATGATTTTTTAAAATATGCTTGTGTGGAAAAAAAACTTTCCATCATCTGAAAGCCCATTGTATGCCCCTCTAAAATGCTAAAACCCCCAACCTGGAGCACTGTTCATCTCTCCAGGATAGTGCTGAATCCGGGCAGGGGTGAATACTGCAAACCCTGTAGTTCAGGGGTTCTCCAGGACACCCTGTAGAGTTTAAGCATACACGCTCTCGGTACTGTACACCTACAAAGAATATATTATTTTCAAAAACCATAATTTATTTAATTAAAGGGACTGTAGGCATAATTTATTTAATTAAAGGGACTGAAGGTATAATATCAAGTAAAAAGTGGAATGTCCGATTCACAACTTTAAACTTTAACCATTGTCTGATCAAGGAGGAACGGCATATCCTTGTTATGCTAACTAAAAATTTATTTTTATCAATGTGGGTTTTCAATTAAGGGACTTGCGAGCGGAGACAATCGGAAATGCCACTGTACAGTGTACAGTGTACAGTGTACATAGAGGGGTTATTTCAGATTACGTTTACAGTCTCTTTAAGTCAAATACCATTCTCTTCCCGCATGTTAAAAAGTCTTAAGTTTCATTGTCAGTTTAAACTTTTTTGGAAAATAAACAAAGGAATTGAGTCTTTGCCACAAACTCTGAATTTATAATCCCTATATCTTTATAACCCAATGTCGTAAATCTTTGATATTTCAAACTTATATTGTTTGATCTAACAGAATTCATAGTTTGAAATATCTAAGATCTACGACATTGGAATCCAAAGATATAGGGGTTAGAAAAGCAGAGTCTGTGGCAAAGACTCAATTCCTTTTTAAGGTTAGAGCTTAAGTATTTTTTTCTTTTTTCCCCGCAAAAGGTTCTATTTTCATAAATATATATATCTGTAAACTTTTGCAAAACTTAATATTTTGTTAATCATTCTACTTTCAGATTTAAACTTCAAAAAGAGCCAATGCAAAATTTCCAACAATACAAGTTTTAGAATAATAATAAAATCGTGTCAAAATTTAATAAACTAGCGTAATAAATCAAACAAGATTGGGCCGCAGAAAAGACTGATAAAATGTTTTTTGATTCTATTCAATTTATTTCCAATATTTTATTATTGTTGCATCAAATTGCAAGAAGAAAACAAAAACACTTAACAATATGAAAACAAATAGATTGAATAGAAAGATAGTAAAATAGACAGATGATATTTTGATAGAAAAATAGATAGACAGAAAGATGATAAATGAAAATAGATAGATTTAACAATTGGAGATTGAAAAAATGCTTTATATACAGTTTACTGTTATGGTTGGGGAACAGTGGATTATTATTGCTCCGCTGTCGGATGAAAACTAGAAAACTTTAAAGGGAATCTAGGAAATACAAACAGAATAGAATTAGAGAATCAAGACCGGGGTTAAGAGACTGTTTGCAGATTCGAGGGAACTTATAATTTACTTCATTTTACAAATGACAAAACATGAGACGGTATAGAAAAAAAACTACTATTAACAGGCGACATGTCATCAGTGAAATAAGTTTTAAGATTGGACCATAACATTATACAGAAGAAAAAAAGGTATTTTTTTCCTAACCAAAAGATAAACGTTGCAAAAATTTCTAACTTTTTTCCCCCTTTTAAACCTAATAAATTTTCACAAATAATGTCTGATGCAAAATAGAAATTTTAAAAAACTTTGTCGTATTCTTACCTTGATCTTTTTTGAGTTTTCATCCATGACACATTGAACTGTTCTTCTGCGTACTCCAGCACATTCTCGGGTACACTTAGACCACAGGGATACTTCCCATCTAGAACAATCATCAATATAACTAGAGTTTCAGGTAGGGAACCATGTATTCAATATAGATAGAGTTAAGGTAGGGAACCATGTATTCAATATAAATAGAGTTAAGGTAGGGAACCATATATTCAATATAACTAGGAGTTTAAGGTAAGGAACCATCTATTCAAAATAACTAGAGTTTCGGTGGGAAACCACGTATTCAATATAGCTAGAGTTAAGGTAGGAAATCATGTATTCAATATAAGAAGAGTTTAGGTAGGAAACCATATATTCAATATAACAAGAATTTAGGAAAGAAATCTACAGACGTCTTAAATTAAAAAATGCTTTTCTTGCTTCTTACCTTACTATCTATTAGCATTAGTATAACCCGTGAGTAAAAACCATGGTTCAAAAATGATCTATAAGCCCCCCCCCCCCCATCTCTTTCAAATTCAATCTTGACACTCTTATCTGACCATCTTCTAACCTTATACAATACACTGTAGACACTAGACACCAATACATCGTACATATACCAGAGCCCAAAACTTAAGACAGGGTATCGTAATGAAACCCAGTATCGGAAACCCGGTTTCATGAATGGGGTCAGGCAATTTTGTAGATATCAAATTTTGTGTTAGAAATATTATTTTCATGATTATTCACGAGTATTTGAAGAGGAAATAAATAAATCCGTAGATCTTCAAAAGATGGAGAACAATGCTTAATCCCGGGATTCACAGATTTCTGAGCCGCAATACTAGTCACTATAAAAGTCCCATGTTTCATAAATATCCCTGAATCTCAAATATGTTTCTTTATTATATTTATCTTACGATCTCATTAAGAACTGGACTACCTATACCTATCAAGCTTCGGATCGAATTCATTATAAATGATAATAAACTTCCAAACGTCATGCTCATTAATGGTCTGTTTAAAAGTAGTTGTAAATAATTTTAAAAAAATTAAATTAACAACAAGCAATCTTTGCGCGTGAAATTTAAAAATATCAACATTTGAAAAAAAATCATTTTTAAAAAATCAAATTTTTAGCTTTTGTTACGCCCGAGGGATCAAAAAATTTAGCCAATATTTCGGTCCAGCCGTTTGGCCAGCTAGCTGTACTTAAAATGTAAATATATAAACATATATTTATGCCTCACTACCAACCCCTCATTTTAATATTCGCACTCCCCACTTAGTCCTACTCTAAATGTGAGGTATTTACAAACAAAGCCAAAAATAAACTTGAAATATTCTTCGACTATGAGAAAATTCTTGTAAAGTACCCCGCCCCCCCCAAAAAAAAATATCTACAAAAACTATTTTTTTTATGGTTAATTCTGAACATTTTTTATATGATTATTTATTTGGTTACTTTTTAACTGCATGTACCACCGTAGATCAGAAGATTGATCAAATTATTATGTATGAATAAAAATTAAATTAAATTATATTGAATTAATTTACTGACAGTCAAAGGAAATGAATTCAAACTTCTTTTTAAAATTGTTAACAGGGAAGGGATTTGTCCTCTTTCGAGGTTATTTTAAAACTTAATGTTTTTAATAGCCAAAGTTATTTTTTAACGGGACCCGTCTTTGCCATTTCAAGTGACCCTTCATTCCACGGGCATCCGTAGTGTATTTGAATTTCCGAGCCGGGTCAACCTTTCCGGTCCCAGTTTGTACTGTATCGCCCGGACATTGGGTAAATAAAGCAGACACTCAATAGGACTAGCTGGTGCAACTAGGTTGACGCGGTCAGACTTTAGGTTGAATTTACTTTTATTAAAGGGTCAGAGGTCCGTGATTCAAAACGCGTCATGTCCAATTTAAAAAGGTATTCTTAACACTTTTATCTATCCAATAATATGGAAGATATCTTCGTTTTTCTAGCACGCATAAAAATTGTTTTATAACGTTGAAGATTCCGTAGCAAAAATTCTTAGGTCTCTTATATAGAAACCAAAACTGAAAAAAAATTGTTTTTAAAGATAAATCATGGGTATCTCAATAATTCTTGATCAAACTAAGTTTTAAAGGTACTACTGTGAATCCGACATTCCGCTTTATAAATGGGGGGGTCACTTCCACTCCCTATTATTTCAACAGGAGGTTGTTAGTCAGCTCTGTGTTAAAGTGAGCCAAGAGTAGGATATTAGTCATTTGTGGGTTAAATGGAATTTCCGTTTCTCTGGCACAAGTTTGAAGTATATGCACTCTCCAGGTCAAATACTGGGCTCACAATTTTAAAAGAACAAACATTTGTTTTTTCCTCACGAACTGCTTCATTATAAATATTTGAATATAAACTTACAAATAATTCAGAAATGGAAAAAAACAGAAAAAAAAGTATCTTTTAAAATCGTTTCCGACGTTATTGATTTATTTATTTATAATTGTATGTACATAATAACTCGTTAAAAAAAAAATCTTGTGATAAATTCATATTTTCAACAATCTTGTAAACCATATAAACAATGATACTCAAATAAATATCTAGATTTTAAAATCATGGTTAAAACCATAATTTTATCGAAAACGTTAATGTTTTACAGAAGCAAATAAACAGCAACATTTAGGGAAGAAAAAAATTGAAAAATCAGCGATTTAATTTTAACAATTGCTCGTTTTTCGATATTTTAAAACTCGTTTGATTTAAGGTTTAAATAAAGCTTAATTTTTTTATGTTCTGCCATTTATATCTTTCAAAAATGGGGTTTTTGCTGATAATTTGCTTAATTTTCAAGGGATTGTTTCCAATTTTGATGTATCTGAACTATTTTTTTCTAGTTTACAAAAGTGATTCAATTTACACAAAACATTGACAATTCTGAATAAAAGTTCTCAAATCTTTTTTTAACGTCTCAAGATCAAAGAAAACTTAAAAACTATTTGAACATTTTTATCAAAAAAGTGCTCAAATTCACCCTTATACTAATTCTTTCTATTCCCTAGATCTTTGAAATCAGATGCTGCAGATCTCTGAAAATTCTGTCAGATAAAAAAAACAGTTTGAAAATGAATATCAAAAGTTGGCAAAGATAAAGAGATAAGAAAGTTTTTTGTCTTGCACATTATCTCTAGATTCTTTGCTATATAATATGAACCAAAAATATGAATAAATTGTTTTTCAGAAAGTAAAACATTAACGAATTGTAAAACTCTAAAACGTACTTCCTCCAATATGAAATATCTATTCCTAACTCGTAATATCTAGATTTTTCAAGAGACAAACTTTCAAGGCTTAAAAACTTGAAATAAAATTTTTCATGAAATTTTAATAAACGAATTAAGTATTCATTTTAGTTTTATAATTTCTAATTTTCCTTCCCTTAACAGGCATATTGTATATTTTTCAAATACGTTTAAGAGAAATGTGTATGCATTCTTTGTGTGTTAATTAACACTGAAAATATAGAAACAAATGCAAATATCACTTTAAGATAACAAATATTCTGTGTTAATTACGAAAAATATACCTTTACCACCCCCCCCCCCCCCCACCCAACTGGACTCGTGTTATCTTAACAAAATATGTCAAAGAACTTGAATATTAAGGAAAATATAAAAGTTGCGAATATGTCAAAGAACTTGAATATTAAGGAAAATATAAAAGTTGCGAATTTTTGAACGAATTTATCTTCAATTGAATGTTATGTTAATGATATAAAAACAACAGCTCACTTTCATTTAGTCAATAAAGGAATTGAGTATTTGCCACAAACAAAAATTTTGCCATTAAATATTTCCTTTTTTATTGCAACCTT